CTAAGATTGAACATGGCACCGTGAGCTGAGCAGCCGCAAGCTGCCATTGGGCAGATGACTCAGTGTGCAAGAAGGTTGCCGGTTTGACTCCCACATGGGATGGTGGACTTCACACACCCCCACCCCCATCCCCACCCCTGCAACTAGATTGAAAGCAGCGACTGGACTTAGAGCTGAGCTTGCACCCTCCACAAGTAAGACTGAAGGACAACAACTTGACTTGGAGCTGATGGGTCTTGGAAAAACACAATGTTCCCCTCCCCAGTTCCCCAATAAAAATCTTTAAAAACAACAAACAAAAAAAAGAGTAAGTGGTAAGATACAGATGATTTCATTTACTTGTGGAATCCAAAAATCAAAATAAATGAACAAACGAAACAGAAAAAAAAGAATGAGTGGTAAAAAAGACACCAGGAGTGCAGATGGAAGTCTGGTTTTGAAAGAAAGTAAGATGTAGGGAGACAGCAGGAAAGTCACAGGATTGTTACCGGGGATAGATGTATGAAATTAATGTGTTTTCCTTTTTTTCCAGTTGCTTTTTTTAGTGATCAGAAATGAACGAACAATCAGAAAAAAACAATGCCACTCAAGAGGGACCCACAGGTCGAAGTTCTCCTGAGAAAAACTATCAAATTGGACAAAAGCAACTGGTATGGTATCTGGATATTATGAGCCCATGGTATTTGGGGAGTTCCCAATCTGGGCATCCTTGAGAAGCCCCGGACTCGGGTGGGAAGGTGGGCTCAGGCAGGACTCCTCAGGAAGGTCCTCTGCCCCCGCTCCACTGTCACCTGCTGCCGCCATGCTAGGATTTTCCCTCCTCTGCACTGCTCACTGCTAAGCTGGCCCCACCTCACACACCTCTGTGCCTCTCAGACCCCTGATTTTTAGCCCAGTGTACTGTGCCACGAAATCCTGCCCTTGGAGTGGAGTATTTTACAGAATATGGTCAAGCGTGTTTATTTAACAAGCCCTTGCTTTTTCTCCTATTCTGTGCTAGTCATGGTTCTGAAACTTTCTATATATTAATTCACCTAATCCTTATCACAAGATAAGATTGTGAACCCCATTTCACAGAAGGAGAAACTGAGGCTACAGAAGTGAGAACTTGCTCACAGCACAACACTGAGTGGCAGAGCCCCGATGTGAACATAGGGTGGCTTATCCTGCTGTCTCTGCTCTGAACATCCGCCGTGCTCCTGAGAAGAGTAATGATGGCATTAAGTTGTACTTATTTCACAGCTGTACTTTCATTCCACTATGGTAAAACTTATAGAAAATTTGTTTTGATATAATGTAAAACAGATAGAACTATTTAGTTCTCACTACTAATATATTTTATTACTTCTATAGCAACAAATAGAACGGCAGTTAAGATGCTTGGCGTTTCAAAACCCTGGACCCCAGGTAGCCGACTTTAATCCCGAAACAAGGCAGCAGAGAAAGCAAGCACGGATGTCAAAGATGAATGAATATTTTTCTGTAAAAAGCAAGTAAGATCATGATTTATTACCTTTGATCTGTTAGATCAAATGTATGAAATTCTCCTTGATAAAGCAAAGTAAATAAAGGTTGCCTCTAGTTTGTGATTTTTAAAAGATGTTTTCTAAAATGCAATATCATTTCACGTGTCTGGAAGTTAGCAACTTCAAAAAATAAACTAATCCCACACTAGGAATCAATTAAAAAATAAAAAGGCTTCAGAAGAGATGACCGAAAGAAAGATGTATCTTTCTAAGGAGAAATAATATAATCATGGGAATGGATTCAGGTATCAAATAGGCACAGAAGTATCATAAGTACAATGACTGCTGGTGCATCAGAAGTATAAACTAAGTAAATCATAAAGGAAAAGGTTGATAAATTCGACTACATTAAAATTAAGAATGTATGCCCATTAAAAGAAACCCTAAAAATAATGAGAGACAAATCACAAGGTAGGATTGAAAAAGTTAGCTCAAAATATAGATAGAATTCTACAAGTCAATAAGAAAAAGATAAATTTCCTATGAGATAAATGAACCAAACAACGAACAGGCATTTCCTAGAAGGAAAGGCTAATAAACACTCAGGATACTGAACCCCATCAGTACAGCTTGGGGAAGTGCCTCATTCCCACTCCCCAGATAGGCAAAGAGTTTAGTCTGAGGTATCAGTGGCGATGGAGCTACGGACCATGAACTGAATGTAGAATGGTACAACCACTATTCAAAATCAGCTTGGTATTACCTGTGTGCCTTATGACCCAACATCTTCACTCCTGGGTATATATCCTAGACAAACTGTTACATATGTACACTAGGAGACATGTTCAAGAAGTTTCATAACATCACTGCAACAGCAAAGAAAACAAAGTAGTAAGAATCCAAATGCCTACCCAACATGGAAAAGATAAGCACCTTGTATATTCACAGTGGAATACATACATGAGTAGAAGTAAAAATGTTTGACTACAGCTATACACACCATCAGGGATGAATCTCAAATCATGTAGTAGAATAAAAAAGCAAAATTACAGAAGGAAAAACGCAGTACACTTGGGGATACAGACATGTGTGGTATAACTAAAAGTACAACAAGGAGATGATTTTTACAATGTCAAGGTGTGGTTCCTCTTGGAGGCCTGGGTAGAGGGATGTGAGGCGCGGGATGTGAAGAGCACTTCGAAGGTGCAATACTCTTTTATGAAGCTGGGCACTGGGCACATGGAAGCTTGTTTTATGTTTCTTCTTTATCCGAGCATATGTGTTTTGTTCATATGTATGATGGTTCAAATTTTGCAAAAGACAGTATTGGATAGACAGGAAACTATAAAATCTGTGTCTTGATGCCTGAGTTAGGACAAGGGAGTATTCAGGTTAAGGCAAAGGGAGAAGGATGGAATGTGATGACCGCCCACTCCCATCATTCTCATAATAGATTTTAAATTCCGCTGACACCTGAATTCGCTGGTGGGCTTGGGAGGGGGTGGGGGAAGCTTTCATTGCACAGACGAAATGCTTCAAATGTAAACCCTCCTTGGAAGCATTCCCACTGAAGTGTGCTAATCGGGCAGCAAGTGCACATACTGACCTCCAACCTTCCCTGCTTTATTAGGAGAGGGGAGAGGATGGAACAGCATTACTTAGCTGAGCAGGAAGAGAGGAGGTGTTATGTCTGCTTGGGGACCAAGGGCGGAAGCTCATAACTTCCGCACACTAGCTTAGGCACAACCTTTTTTGACTTCGGCTGGTAATAACGGATACAAGGCTGCACAGAGTTACTTCTGGCATTCTAAGGCTTTCCAGCAGCTCAGTTTTGAAGGATTTATTTCCAAATGGTTTGGTTTTAAGATGGTGGTGGAATTCTTGTGAAAGCCTTTTGCCTCCTGGACATATTGTAGAGGCTGACAAAGCGTGGGAACCCGAAACAAGGTATAGACTCAGGTGCTGTCCTCTAGCACAGGATTTCTGGCCTCTGTTCGGAGCTTGTGGGGAATCCTACCATCTTGTCACCTGTTTCCTCCCTCCGCTCTGGGAGGAACACAGCATCAGAAAAGAACAGAAGCAATGGCATTGGAGACTGTTAGCAAAGGAGTTGTTTTATTTATTTACTTTTTTAATGATAATGGTAGTAACTAAGTTTTAGTGTTGGGCTCATTAAAAATAATGAATGTATTGTATTCACTGTAGTGCTTTTTTTTCTTAAGAAAGAAAAAAGAGGGGCATTTACTAGGGAAAATTCCATTAGGATTGTTATATTTTAAAGGAAAAATTGGTGCGTTTATAGGAAGAAGCTTTAATCAGCTATTCTTCGTAATTTGCGTAGGTGGAATATTACATTCCCCAGATGCTGGGAAAATGATGACAAGCTTAGCTGCACTGGAAATTGGTCACATGCTGGCTGCATTTCCAAGGACATCACTGCCAGACAATATTCTGAAGTGTTGCTGGGTAACCTCTAGGGCACCATTTTCTCTGAGCTAAAGCATCGTATTTACGAAGTTTGCTGAATAATAATTGACTCTCAATGTTAAGGAAAACTGCACTGTGGTGTTAGTGTCATCCTTTTCCTTTGCAGAGTTCTGACGAAGTACAATAAAAGCGGCCGGCTCCTCTGTAATGACGCTGATCTGTGCGATTGCCTGGAGAAGAACTGCCTGGGCTGCTTCTACCCCTGCCCCAAGTGCAACTCCAACAAGTGTGGGCCTGAGTGCCGCTGCAGCCGAAGGTGGGTTTATGATGCCATTGTCACCGAATCTGGAGAGGTCATCAGCAGGCTGCCATTTAACATTCCTGACTAGGAGTTGTTATTACGTGAACTGGCTTTTGTCTTCTTTACATTTACTTCAGTCTCTTTCTCTGGGTGATTTCTATGGCTTGGGGGAAAATGTGGGAAAAATACACTTGAGTCATGTTCTTCAAAGCTGTAGAACAATGTAGACTGGGCGGTCATTCTAGAACCTTCTTACTGTGTCTTCTCCAATTCCTTCACTTGTAACTGAAGCGTGTGACCGTGGGTGGCTCTCCGTCTCTCTCCTCAGTACTCCCATCCCCACCCTCAAATGTAACATCTCTTTCTTCTTTGCTGGTATCTCAGAAAACATAATTTTAAGATTTTCAATATTCTGTAGCTGAGTTTATATAGAACATATAATCATAAATATCTAGTTACCCTTAGAATCTTACACATCACTAGTTCGAAATCAGAATTGCTATTTGGATTAAAAAAAGAAAAGACCCAAACCTTGTGACTTTCAATTGTATATTCATAGTCTCATTTTTTACGGTTAATGTGTTAATATTATTAAAATTAAGTTTGGTAATACGTGGTGATATTTTCATTAAAATTTTTTATTTTACTTGTAAAATTGAGAAATTAGGACTTGAATATCCTAAAAGCCAGTTTTCATTTCAGGATCAATATTTTGGAATTTTTTTCCAAAAGGAGGAAACATAAGTTATTATACAAAAGTGTGTTTGTTGTGTGTTTTCTAATTGAGTGTATTGTTATGCAGTTGAATAAACATATGATGTGGTTTTTTTTCAAATCGTATACATTATAGGAGGTTTATGAAAAGATGAACTCAGTTTTCTTTGAGTTTGTTTTTATAACGAAGTCCCGTTTATGTGGCTCTCATAGTTCTGTTTGCATCAGAATCATCTGGAAGACTTGAATCATTGGTTTTATCACCCAGCACCCAGAATTTCTGATTCATTAGGCGTGAGGGGGGGAGGGGCAGAGCTCACTAATTTGCATTTCCCAGGTGATGCTGCCCTGCTGGTGTGGGGAACCCCTTTCAGAACCACTCCTTTAAGTTCTATTAGAAACAATATATGGAAGGCTTTAAGTAGCTAATTTGCTAAATTTTTAAAGCAATAAGAGCATTTAATTTTAAAGTAAACTTGAAATGTTAGAAATCGAGTTTTCAGGGCTTATTTTTCCTCCATAATTAGTTTCCAAAGCACTTCTGCACAATCCACATGTGCCAGGGAAGGCTCCTGATAATTCTGGCCTTGTTACTTGACGGTACGTTTTGAGACTAAAGTAACAAAAGTATTAAAAGTCACGTTGTGATGACAGTACTCCTGCATGTATAGCCAGAGAACTTACCTTGGTTTTCCACAAAATTTACTGAGTTTTCCAGAGTCAGCTCACTTTTACTGAATCAGACATTGTGCTGAGTCCTTCCAATTCATTACCTTTAAGCATCACTGCAACTGTGAGGAAGATCTGAGATCAGATCCCCAAATCAGATTCTTAGAAATGCTCACCAGGAGGGTGACCAGTTAGTTGAGTTGGTTAGAGCATTGTGCTGATAACCCCAGGGTTGCGGGTTCAATCCCCGCATGGGCCACTGTAAGCCGTGCCCTCCTTAAAAGAGTCAACTATGCCATTGTAGCGTGAAAGCAATGTGTAACCAATGACCATGCCTGTTCCTCAATAAAATTTAAAAAAAAAGAAAGAAATGCTCACCAGGAGCATGCATCCCTGAAACCAGTCAAAAGGAGTGGAGGCCTCTTTTGGTTTACATTTTGTTTTGAGAATAATTGTTATTTTGTACATGGCTGATGAAATGAATTGTTTTTTACTTATTCATTTTAGAATCATATAATTTTGAAAGTTGGAAGGAATCTTACAGGTTATCAAAATAGTGAATTAGTCAACAAATGTGAATTAAGAGGCTGCTCTGTGCCAGGTGCCAGACGACGCACAGGGTCATGAGCAGCTGGTTCCTCTCTTCACGGGGTTTATAGAGTAAAGCCAGTTTTGGTTTTGGTTTTGGTTTGCTTTGGTTTCTACAACTGAGGAAATTTAGCTCCAATGAGATAAATGACTCGGGTAATGACTCACGGAAGAGCTGGCTAACCTGATGTTTTGAACCCTAAGACTAGGTCAGTATTCTTTCCATGACACTGAATGTTTCCCAGATTTGCCTGATAGTAAAACTTATCCAGGTGCTCTTAATAATACACATTCCTGAGCCCCATCCCAAACTTCAGGAATCAGCGCCTCTAGGGATGAGACTTGGGAACCCACACTTTTAAGCAAAAGCACTCCAGGTAAGTCTCATGAGCAGGCAACTTTGAGAAACCCCACCTTCACGCTAGCTGTTTCATGCTCAAAAATAATCTTAGACAAATTAACATTAAAGTGCCTTTCCTCCTGTCTCCTTTTGTTAGTGTGTCTTATACATTAGATGAGATGATCTGGTTTAAAGTGATCTGGTTTAAAATTGGTTGGCAAATTATGTTGGTAAGTTTTCCAAGTAAAGCAATAAATAAAATAAGGCAAAAAAATTGTGTAATTACTAAGCAGACACCTCATACTACTTTTATGCAAATCTAGTAAGACCTGTGATGAATGACTTTTTAGAAATCAGGTTATTTCATCTTGACCTAATGCCAATTCTATGCAGTTTTTAAAAGGCTCCTGCCCTAAATGATTATTGCAAAAATAAATTTATGTGAATTTTCGGAAACCTGTTTTTGCGAATGTCTAATTTTATCACAAAGTGAACAAAGTACTTTAATTATTTGAACTAAATTCAGCTTAACAAGGAATATAGCTGGACTATCTTACTACATTATTAAAGGAAATTGTCTTGTCAATGTATTAGGATTTTTCTCTTGCGGCTTGGCTATCTTTCAATGCTGATGGTGTGTCTTCATGAATGTGTATAGAAATTACAAGGAAACCTAATTCACAGAAGGTCATTTAAATATGAATTCTTACATACTGAAGGTTTTAGAAAAGTCACCCTGCACTCATTTACACAGGGATTTACAACTGGGATGCCTTATCCCATCAATTTGCAGAATAACTTTATCTGATCTAATTTGTGAGAGTTAAAGAATATCCATACAGTGTCTGAGACCATTCTTTTGTACCACCCCCTGCCCCCACAGTATCCTGGATACATTGCGGGTATAAATCTTAGGATGCTACCTCACAGAAAAATCATTGAACCTCTCCTTTATATATTTACTTTTCTGGAATATAAACAATGACAACTTGAATGTTTTGTGGTTATGAAGATTGTGGGTCTATGATGCCTTGGAGACTGAAACATTTACAGGAGCAGGGCTGTAGTGTTTGGCCATGGAAGCTGTTTGAGGCTCATTTCCAGGGGGTGCCTTTCACGTAGACGACCCTGCCAACAGTGCCCTCTAGAGCTCTGCAGCAAAGTGGCCCCGCAAGCTGGTGCCATTTGATGTGTGGATTTCTTGATTGTCTCGTATTTATTGACACTTAGTGTGTACTAGGCATTGAGTGCTTTAGATTGGCTTATATTTTTGTATAAAATAATGAAAAGAAAATCTTTACATCTTGTTTCTTTCCCTTCTGCTTTTTTCTTTTTCCTTCATTCTCCATGGAGTCTGTAATCCTAGAAGACAGTTTTTGGGTTATTTAGGAAAGTGGTCCATATATCTGATCTAGCCTAAGCTGGTTTCGTACTTTGTTCCTTTTTCAGAATCTGTATTTTAATTTAGATTGAATATTCTTTTTCATATTCACAGATTTCCTAAAATTCTGCTTTTTCCACGGTATTTTTCTTTATGCTGTGGAAGGGAAATGACTCTTATCATTACTATGTTAAGTTTATTTTGTGTTTGTAGTTTTAGCAGATTCTTTCCCCACCCCCACCCCCACGCCCACCCCAATTTTATATGGTTGTCTGTTTGTACTTTTTAAATTGGCTAATTCTTAGGTCAGATATAATAAATTCAAAGGGATATAGTACTGAGCTTGTTTCTTCTTCAATAGTGCATTCAATAGCCCTGCATGCTTAATAGATACACCACTTAGTGACTATTCATTCATTCATTCATCCATCAAGTACCTCGTGTTTACTCTTTGAGGTGGCTAAAAATATAATGGGTAAGGGAAAACACACACACACACACACACACACACACACACACACACACACACACACACACACACACACACACACACACCCTGAGATATATCCAGTAAAAAGTAAACCCAGGCCACTTAACCATTGTCTCATTCCTTGTGTCCAAAGTCCCTATCCAGTCTGCCTTTCTCTCTCCATCTTTCAGAGTTGTCTTATTTGTTTTATATACAGCCTTTTTAGCTATACTTACTGAGAGGAGTAGAAAAAAGTAAGCCTACCCCATCTTTCTGTAAGTGGAAGTCCCTTGCTGGGCTTTGGTATCAAGGTAATGTGAGCCTCACAAGGATTTAAGGACTGCTTTGTCTTTTTTCTTCTCTGTCATCTTTGTTTCGGATGACATTATTCTTTCTTAAATATTTGTTGGAACTTGCCAGTGAAGCCATTTGACCCTGGAAGGTTTTTTATTTGTTTGTTTATTTGTTTTATAGGAAGGTTTTTAATTATACATTCATTTGTAAAAATAGAGTTATATTCTGTTTTCTTCTATTCTCAGATCAATTTTGGAGAGATGTTTTTCTGTGAATTATCCATGTAAGCTAAATTTTCAAATTTGTGAAATAAAATACAATACGCTCTTGTCATTCTTAATTATAAAATATTCTCCAATTTTAGTTATAAACTACTGAAAGGATAGTACAAACGAGTATCCTTTTGATAAATTTCTTTCCCCCCTTATGTTGGAGTTGGATTCTCGTTTATAAATAAAACACCCGAATTAATACAGGTATATCATCCAGAAAATGAAGAGACACTTATGTTTAGTTGCAGCCGATTCTCTTTCAACAAACTTCCACAAGAAATGTGTTCCTTCTGTTTCCTAAGGTCTACATACCTAAGGCCTGATTTAAGAGGTCTGAGCTAGAAGCCCTGTTGTTTCTTTTCAACAAAACTGGAACCAATGTGAATCAATATGCTCCAGGCAATGGAAACTGAAAAAATATTGATACAACTTACAGAATATTGCAACTGAAATAGAATACAAATTGCCCAGCTTTGAGGGAGTTAACTGCAGACAAGTCCCAGAGACAGGAGAGAGAAAAAGAAAAAAAAGGGAGGGAGGAATGTTTCTTTGAACTAGTTGGGATTCAGAATCTCATTCTAACTTTGAGCTTTCTATGCAGTGATTGGCAGCAGAGTAGCATTAAATTATATGATTTCTGTGATTTTTGCATATGTTCTCGAAAGATGAAATTCATTTGTATTTTGCAGTTTTTAATAATTCACTTTCCAAAAAGCTATGCAGAAAACAGTTCCATGCGTGGTATTGGCTCCCTCTGCTGGCCATTCATGTGTCCTTCAAGTTTTACCCAGAGAACAAAACCAAGACACCAGTATTGAAATAGATTTGGTTTTCCCCCCCCCAAAGTTTACTTCATTTTTTGAAGTTTATGTTTAAAATTTAAA